GAAATGCAGCTTTGACTGGGGAGCCACATCCAAGGCGAGCTTGTGAACTACTGCCTTGAACGATTTCTTCGGGATGGACAGGTAGTTGTCTATACTTTGCAGATCATGTATCTGCTGCTCCACCAGTCGCCGGTTGATCTTGACGGGGTACTTCTTACTCGAGGCACAAGACGACCCCGAAGACGACCCCGAAGACGACCAAGGCGAAGCCGACGAAGACGACGGCGAGCTCTGAACCTCACACGTTGGTCACCATTCAGAGGACAAGGTGCAGAACGACACTTTGCATTGTAACTGTAACGTCTTGCGTACTCTGCAGTCACAGGAACATTGGAACGCCGAGGGGGTGTGCAAGGCGAAGGCGAGCTGTTGACCTCACATCAGAAGAATCTTGTCAACAGTGCTTGTCAATTGTCTGTGAATTTCCAGTCCTGGAACCAACTGATTGCAGAAGCGGCACTTGCAGCTCTGCTTGCTTGCCCGTCTTCCGTGTAGCCTCATCTTGGTCAGGAACTAAGTGACAGGTCCAGAGCGAGCGTTTCGGCCAGAGACGCATACTTGCGAGCAGAGCACAACCACCCTCTGCTTCTCTAGCTGGCCTGTCTTCCGTGTGGCCTTAGATTCAGTCACTACTTCGCACAAGTTCTAATCTAGCAACAATAAATGACAAGACTGGCTTACAACCACGGCACTCCAGCTTCCTTGCCTCTGTTCCGTGTTGCCTCAGCTGTTGCAAATTTCCTCTGAAATTTAAACACACAGAAGCAAGTGCGTCTCGAACAAACTGGCAAGGCACTCGCACCATCTCTGCTGGATTCTACCCCGGTGGACACTGACTCGCACGGTCCAGCAATGAACCCAGAGCAAACAAATGCTGCAGCACATGCTTCGATTCCTGCTGCTTGCTCACACAACGGCAGCCCAATATGAGACACACGGACTTCTAAACCCAGGTGCCAGACTCTCTGATCGCCAATGGCCTCATGCGCCAGAAGCTTGCAGGATTTATTGCAACTCAGATTTCGGCAGAATGACTACTCAGCCTTGCCAGTCACACCAAGTCGAGACTCCACGGCCAGGACCTCGGAGTCATCTCGGTGCCAAATGTGCACGTCACGACCCCATGTTCACATGCACTGGACTCGATGCTTTACTGGACCTAAGCATGTCGAGCTGCGGAATCTGGGGTACTCTACAGGAGTGCTTGGACGACTGTCGAATCCAAGGCCCCGGCTTAGATCTTGTTTGCAATAATGAGAGAAGATGGCTGCTGGTCAGACCTGGCAGTAAAGTGTATCTGCAGATGTGCGAACTAAGACGACTGGCACTGGCACCTGCCGAGGGGCAGACAAAAAGAACATCTCGTCGGCCAAAGACCTCAACTCCAAGGGAATGGGGTGTGACCAAGGAATCAGGAAGCGCAAATAGCTGAGCAAAGCATTTCTTCACTTTTGGACCACTTTGTGCTGCAATCGAGGTCTTTCGCTGGAAGAGCCTGGAAGACTCGTGGTCTTGCGAGCCATGCAAAAAAACCAGTCTTGACTAAACTATTAATTGGTCCTGTCCTTTGTGTTCTAATGTAGTTCAGGCTTCGGCACGGCTCGCAAGAAAGCTGGCCAGAAACTTACCTGTGCCAGCTCCACTTCTTCCAATTGTCGTCATACCACACCCACTCCCAATCTTCCCACCAACTATTCCAAGACCAGAAGCCATCCTGCGAGCTCTGGTGCGAAGACGAAGTCGACTGGTGCCAAGACGAAGTCGACTGCGACGGATGCTGGGAAGATGCGGCAGCCTGGTGCTGCTGGGACGAAGACGACGAAGGCCCTCCCTGTCCTGGTCCGTCTCCTGGTCCTTGTGAACAGGAGAATGATTGACTCCATAAATCGTCAATGACAAAGTAATTAGAAGCAAGAAAAATTTGCAAAAGGAAGAAGTCGGGCATAATCCAAGAAGCGAAAAGTCCTCACATTCAAGCGGGACATGACATGAAATTGCACGCTGGCGGACGCATTGCGGAACACTTCGTCGAGGGGACAGTTGCCCTTCTTGCTCCTCTCCCTGAGTTAACGGCCAAGGCAATCAGATAGTGAGGTTTCAAACAACTTCTTTTCATAGACATGATAATTCATTAAAACATCCGATTTTCTACTGATGAAATGCCGCCCGAGCTTCCGAAGAATATGGGCCATAAATTCCCGGGCTTTCGTCTTGTCTTCTTCGCACAATGCTGCCATCCCCTGGACTGAAGCAAAACAGACCATCTGTTTGAATATTGAAGCAGGCAACAACTGAGTCCATGCTTGCAGGCAAGTCACGGCCCAGGCACTGTCATCGATGTTCATCTGGATCATCAGCTCGAAGAGCTCCGGCGTGTATTTTCTGACCATTCGCTGTGCCAGTGTGAGGTCCTCCTCCTCAGACTCTTCCTCGCCGTCACCATCGTCGTCATCATCATCAGCAGGCGGCGGCTTCCCCGGTGGCGGAGGCGGCGGAGGACCAAGAGACTCCAAAAACTTCGCCGTGTGCGAAGGCCAAGACGGACATTTGTTCTTGCTGCCACTTGGGGGCGGCTGATCATCATCATCATCATCATCCGGTAATGACGACTCCTCCTTCTCGAGAAATTTTTTCTTGTCGTCCTTGTTCTCGTCCTCCTCCTTCTTCTCGTCCTCCTCCTTGTTCTCGTCCTCCTCCTTGTTCTCGTCCTCCTCCTTGTTCTCCTCCTCCTTGTTCTCGTTGTCATGGTTCTCCTCCTTGTTGTCCTCCTTCTTCTCGTTGTCATCGTTCTCCTCCTTGTTCTTCTCCTCCTCCACGTCCGCCTTTTCCTTTTTTTTTTTTACGGTCCTCCGTCTTCGGCGTTGAGGTCTGGATGTTCATGTGGAAGACGGTGTTCAAGAACCTGAGGAAGCAGGACTAATTAAAGGAAGAACACGTTGAATTGATTGAACATTGACTATGCAGCCCATCGGCCTCCTTTCCGCCTCTGTTTGGATATTTTTTATCGCAGCTGTGATCTTCTTCGACTCTGCGAAGCTTGGAATGTCGTCCATGTCTGAGTAGAAGGCAGATTTTCCCGGCACCCATAGCGAAACCATAAAGCACCAGCCCACCACCATCGCAGTAGCGACGGAACGAAGGCGACCATCCCCGCCTAAGTACCAAGCAGTGTCTGACTCGACATGGTGCAACTCACTCCTAGGACCAGTGACTGATCGCCAAGTTGCACGTGAGGATGATGACGTGGGCCTTGTCGTCTCGTCCTTCCTTGGCGGCGCAGATGCCCATGACCTGGGTGGGCTCAGCATTCAACATTCCCAAAAAAAGGAAGGTCTCTGTCCAAGCACACGGAATCAGCCGAGATGCCACGCACAGCACTGACACCATGGCCTCGGAGCCCTCCAAGATGAGCTTGTAAAAGTCATTTTGTGAACTCAGAGGGTCTCCTTGGCCGGATCAGAAAGCAAGGAAGTTTGGCACCAACGCAACAGCTCAAGTAAATTGCCGCCAAGCTTCCGCCATGGAGGCTGTCGGGGAGCTCCCCCGGCCACAGCCGCTGGACGTCCAGCAGGCAAACGGCCGCTGTCGGCCAGTAGCTCTTCGCGTCATCTCAGCTTCTGCTATAATACAGGGAACTCCAGAAAGTTGGAATATGGTTTAATGCTAGGATACCCTATAATTTACCATAGAAGAGTTAGGATAATCATATTCCAACTTTCTGGCTTTTACCTTATTACAAAAAAAACCTTGGCCTACCTGAAGGAGGACGCTTTGTTAATTTCAGTCCAGATGCAGATGTGCGTCGGGTTGTTGCCGTGCGCCGCGACGATGCAGCAGTCGAGCTCGACGCACAAATACGTCGTCATGACGAAGGCGAAGACGACGAAGGCGAAGAGGACGAAGGATGACGCCAAAGGCGACGAAGGCGAAGGCGAAAAAGGCGAAGACGACGAAGGTCCTGGGATCGCGGAATTTCGCATGAAATGAAATACTTACATGCTCTCACTGCAAGGTCACGTGGCAGGCTTCTTCTCTCGACGCTGGGCTCCTTCTCTCGACGCGGCCGTCCAAGCCAGGGACAGAAAACGGCTAAAATTCTGCTGCTTCTGCCGGCTAAATCATCAATTCCAGTGACACTGTTTCATAACGACATCAGCCTACTCTTCTATTAAGAATTAACTCGGCTTCAATGTCCTGGTATAGAATGCTGCATGCGTAGACATGTGCATGTGCTCACTCCCTCACTTGAGCAATGATTAAAAAGCTGGCACAAACCAAGGACATTCATTCATGCAAGTGCCCGAACTGACTGACTTGGCACGAAGCAGCATCTACTCAGTCCCGAACCATCTGTAATGACTGATGTGCATGGCCAAGGTGTCATCCAACCTGGCGGCAGACAATGTGAGCGGTAATCATGACATTGCTCTGAAGCATTTTGTCGGCATGCCTCTTCGAGCTGCTCACTTCAACTTCGCACATGACATTGTAGGAACGAAGCAGCATCTACTCAGTCCCGAACCATCTGTAATGACTGATGTGCATGGCCAAGGTGTCATCAAACCTGGCGGCAGACAATGTGAGCGGTAATCATGATTTCAGCAACCCCTGGTTATCATCATTGTTCAGGATTGCTCTGAAGCATTTTGTCGGCATGCGTCTTCAAGCTGCTCACTTCAACTTCCCACATGACATTGTAGGAAGCGAAGGCGAAGACGAAACAAAGGCGAACGCCCAACGAAGGCGAACACCAATTCAAAAAAAAGCCTAGGCCGGGCCTTTGGGATTGCCCTTGCCTTTGCCTTTGTCGCTACCTCTGCCGGGCCCTCCCAGGTGCTCGGGAAGCGGCCGCCACGGCTTCGGAGGGCCTCTCAGGCCATGCAGCTGGCTGGTGGTGCCCCCCTTAGCGATTCTGGGTTATGTAGCAAGTCATGTTACTTACCTACAAATAGAATATAAAACATAAAAGTTTATTGTTGTAAATAAAATACCAAGTCTGCTCAGGGAACGGTCGTCGCTGACTGAACATACCTGGCATAGATCGCGAGCTCGGGAGTGTGGAAGGCGTATAACGCCTCCCACTGGGCGAACTCCGCGATCTGCCGCTGCATGAACTGACATGGGCACGCGAAACCAGCCCCTAGAAATTGAGGCTGACTCAAAGCCGATCATAGTAAGTACAAGTCCTTGGAACCTTATTTAGTAAGTTGAAAGAACCAGGCCCTGCCTGAAGGCTGTCACGCGCCTCTCCAGGTGTTCTGGGCGTCGGCGGGAGGGCGATGTTCAAGGACTGCCGGTCCAGCCCATGGTCTTGGGCGGTGGCATAGTTGTCGCTTGACAACATCCACACCACTCGAGTCTTGATCGCCGCCAGCTCATTCATGGCCTGTGTCCACAAGCTGAAAACGTCCCCCGGGGGGGGGGGAACTGGACAGCACGAAGACGAAGCCGACGAAGGCAGCGAACTCGAAGCCGGAGGCGCCTTCGACGAAGCCGGCGACGAAGTCGAAGCCGGCGGCGAAGTCGAAGCCGGCGGCGGAAGCGGCGGCGGCGGAATGGGAGCCGCCGCCATGTCGGCACCCAGACCTGCCTCCGCCGGCAAGACAGCAGCTGCAGGAGCTTTGGCAGCGATTGGTGTGGCACCAACTGGAGTACTGCCTGGGATTTGAAGTTCCAAATCCGCATGCCTGGCCTTTATATTAATTATTGACTGTTTTTAATCTTACGAAGCAGCAAACATAATGATGTACTGTTTCATGCCTTACAAGTTAGAAGAGCTTGACCTGATTGAATGCCAAGGCACTAGCCTTGCCCTGCTGCTGCTGCTGCCATCTCGCCCTCTTCACGCTCCGGTTCGACGTTGGATCCTGGAGCTAGAAGATATTGGGCAATTCAATTGAATAGGGCAAAACGGTGAGGGGTAATATAACGGCCTGTGGGGGAAGGACAGCTCAGCCCTTACGCGAACACTCTTGCTAGGAAATATGAGAAAAATGACACGTAAATCAAACCTGGTCTCTCTGGGCTGTGGCTCCT